ACTTGGACTACGTGGCTCCAGTGGTAGACGGATATTTATCTACATAGTTTAGACCTCGTAGATTCATCTCTTTTTCTAATTCCACATGATAGAATAGAACTTAGGCCGGAAGAACCCGGAAACTGGAATCTACAATCCAACCAACAAAACAACAGAAGAAAGAATCCAGACCTGTCCATCAGACCTGTCATCGGAGAATATTATGCTGTTAGTGGATCCCGCCTGCATGGCAGGAACGATTGCGTCGGGTTCGTGGTGCCCAAGTATTGGCACGACGTGGTAGTACAGCATTTTGTGATCTGGATGTGGACTGCTCTCTTACCGGTTCTGGGCACTCGGTACTACTACCCAGAGAATAACTTCCAGTTTTGTGGCTGGAGTTCTGCACTGCGTTATACTTGAAGGGGGGGGGGGGGTTTGGTTTATGGGGTAGGAAGTTGTTGTTGGATTTAGATTCACCGCTTCGGTTTCGGCGGTCTAGTGGAGATATGGTCATGTCGTGAGGTTGGGTCTGGAATCAGTAAAATTCATGGAATAGTGCTCTTCATCTACCGACACCTTCCCACACCGAGATAACCTCATCTTACTAGGGCATCTGTTGAAGCCAATGATGAGCGTGTCGGACCTGTCAGGCTTGTCACTATTTATCGCCACAAGATAGGGCTTACAAGTCTGAGATATTGTGCAATCAATGATTGTCATGGTCTCTTGTGCTGACGGATACTTCAATGACATCAACTTACTATTTACTGAGGTGAAGATGCTGAGAAAAATAACAATATTGGTGAATCATACAGTTACTCATATCACTACCTTTTACCAAAAGACTATTCGTCCCTTTCAAAGTCCTTCTTCACTTGCTCCGCAACTTTATCATCCACCAAGATTTGACATCCCACAACAGCCATGCCAGCCGCACAGGCAAGACTACGTTTATATCCCTCCGGCGATCCAGCACCGTTAGTAAACTGCGGCGTATGATTCACTCCCTCAGCTGGGATGGTGAACATTCCATGAAATCCGGGTACGGCATAGGTGACGTTGCCTGCAGAATAATGTCAGTACTGCTCCCTGGGCTGAATAATGATCATTGTAATACGAACCCATATCTGTAGAAGCACCACCCAAGACTCCCTTCTTTCCGGAGTTATCAAAAACCGTATGGTGACCCATTGCGCGCATGGCGGTAACATAATTCTCGCAGATGGGTGTATTAGTCTTTAGATCAGCGTACGAGATGCCCCTGGACTTACAGTTAGTGCTGTGGTCCGGAGTCTTGCCACGAAGTGAATAACATACCAGTCAAACTCAACCTTACACCCGGTGGCAGTCGCAGCCGCTTCGAAGCACTTGATCACTTTTTCAGTCAACGGCTTCAATGTCTTGAGACTGGGTGACCGGATATAATAGTCCACAGATGCCGACATGGGAATCACATTCGGTCGATCTCCACCGTGCGCAATCACCCCATGAATCCTTTGACTCGGCAGAATCTGCTGTCGCAACAGAGAAATATTAACATAGGCGGCCACCACAGCATCAAGCGCGTTAACACCCTCCCACGGCGCAGCAGCCGCATGCGCCGGCTTTCCCGTAAAAGTCACCGTGACCTTATCATTCGCAAGAAATCCACCCGGCAACACAGTCGCCACACTCAACAGTTCCAGATCATCAGGCGCCATCGGCATAGGATGCACCATAAGACAAGCATCCACATCCTTATACGCTCCGTTTTCTAACAAGCGCACTTTTCCACCGCCAGATTCTTCCGCCGGCGTGCCCAGCAGCCGGACGGTATACCCCGGTCCATTCGGGTACTGGGCTTTCAAGGCTTCGCAGGTCGCGATGAATGCGGCGATTGAGCTCGTTGCGATTAGATTGTGGCCACATGCGTGTCCGATTCCCGGGAGGGCGTCGTATTCCGCGTTGAAGGCGACTACGCGGCCTCCTGTGCCGTGCTTGTATTCAACTTCTAGGGCTGTTTCGAGTCCATGGGCACTGCGGCGGACTTGGTAGCCTTCTGATTTGAGACTTTCGAAGAGGGAGCAGATGTGGTCATGGGCTTTGTATTCTTCATAGCCTAGTTCGGGGTTTGACCAGATCTGGGTAGAGTTAGAGATATGGTACAGATAGTGAGGGATATTATAGAGAAATCTTCAATCTACTTACTTGATGATTGATATTCTTCAACTCGGAATCATATTTATCAAGAGCTTTCTGAACGCTATCAATCAAGCGATACTGATATTCTTGAACATGCATTTTGTCTAAATAGCAATAGCAGGTGGGTCAGGTCAATTGCTTGATTTAATCCCCACGAGGAGTGTCTTCAGGTATCTTATATATTTTGCCAGTCATCCTTCGTCTCCACTTGGACGATGAGATGGAGCACCACTCGGCAATGCTTCGCTTGTTCACACCAATCATGTCGTGTTCCAATCGTTTCTGCATTTCTTATCACCTCCCTATCTTCATGGCGATAGGACGGATTCCTTTACTTCATGACCCACCCGGCACCATCCCCGCTATTTCTCCTCATGGATCTTTTGGGGTCAATTCATCAGCCGAGGCCATGGAGATTCTCTGTTTGTCATAGATAGGCTGTTCTGCCCTTTTCCTTGGTGATTGATTCAATTTTATACATGGTTATTCGTTCATAAACTAGTAGCCACTGATATATATTTCCAATCGGCACCTGAGCTTGATACCATATCATAAGAGCATATATTCCAGAAGGCCTTAGCCCTTCGAGCTAGAAGCTGTTTTATACTTGTAGCACTATTTTAACATGAAAAATACACTCTTCTTTTTGTTTCAAAGAAGTGAACTGTAAGGTATTTCCGAGGCTACTTTGCACATATGTTAGCGCTCTAGTACCAGAATAACCCCCCCCAAAAAAAAAAAAACAAATTTCAAAAGAAGCATAATAGACATATAATCAGACAAGTATAGCTAATCTTATATCTACTGCACTTAAGCCTTGCAGTAGAATCATTTCGGCAAGTGAATATGTAACATCATCATCATCATCATCATTTCTGTACATTGAAATTGTACCAAAGGTCCAAACTAAAACAAAGATCTTACCTTCGCATATGTGAAACTGATATAAACAATTCCCTGGGGATGAGATGTTGTCTGGGGAAATAGCTGAGGGAGGTATTGTCTTATCTATTCTGTGTTGGAAGATGTCAATTCTCCTTAATTATATACCAAGTAAAGATGTGTTCATTGAGTAAGACTGAGTCAGGGTGAGCCAGATACGAACTGCATTATATATCTTTAAGCTAAATAGATTAACGTCTAGTCAGATATTGAGAATCAAGGTAGCGGTTTAGAGTTTTGTATCTCAGGTAAAGTGTATGAGTAAAAAGCGAAGTGGTTGTGATTGAAAGGTCATGATTGTACATTGCTTGGTAGTAAATCTCCCTATGTTTCTTTTTAAGAAGTTATGATAGTATCTATTGACCATCTACGATTGGTATATGATTTATTGTCAAGATCAAGAGCGTTGTGTTTTAACACTAACACAGAGTATACCGTCGGTTTCACGATAGGGTGAAAGATTTCACTCACTTGACTCACGTTATACGAAGTACGAGTCATACAATATCAATAGTGGGGAAGTTCATATACACCAGATGAGTCAGATGCAAAACAATATCAATCCATAGGAATAACAGACAAAAGAAAAAAAAGACTTTCTCGAGTTGTAGCACTAGATCAATCTGAGATAAAAACCCCCTCTGCTGAATGTGACACACTACCATTCTGGTGCCCTCTATTGACAATTAGAGGCTGCCAGGAAGAGCGCGGGATAATACCTAAATATAATTTGAGATATCGATATTGACAAAAGAACGCAACTACAGTTCTCCAAGTGGCCCGTGCAGGGATATAATCAAGTATCTGGAAGTTAGATTACGCAAGAAATGCTGTGAGGTAGGGCTACAGAATATTAGAAGCAGGTTTAATTTGTATAGTTATATAGTAGCGTAATTACTAAGGTGGAAGGAGTACTTTTTGGCAAGCTAAGCAACATTCGACATAGGTTGCAGTTCCTTTCACTGCATTGAAGCCCAATAAGCCGTGCCTTGGTACGTAGCCCTAGTTGGTCTCTCAATTTCCATAACCATAATACTACCTCTTCTCCCCGCAGCCGCGGTTGAAGCAACTTAGATAATGCAAGAAAAGGCCGAATTCGTAGATTTACCCCTCTGTGATTTGGGCTCCAACACAGCTTCTCACATCAGCTCCTGGCGCAAGGTATCCAATTGGTCTGGCTTGCTGACCAAATCCTGTATGTCGCAGAAAATGAAGAAACGCAATGTGTAATACACCGTTGATTCGTCTTGTCAGAGTAGTCTTACCACATACATATGTACAAAACCCCGTCTATAAAAGCTATCCTTCCTGGAAGGAGAAGCATGACAGCTACTACGTTAACTCCACTATATGCATCTGGTCCTCGACATGTGTCTGTTAATTGCTTCGGGTTGGATGGGACCGACGCTCACTGCATTCAGGACGACGCATACTGTTGCCAAGTGTTGGCCCCCAAGGTATTTGTGAAGCTCTATGATGACTTAGTCAAGTTATGGAGCGGCGGCAGGATTCGGCAGCCTCAAGCCTGTGACTAAATTCACATATAGCAATATGCCTGTCCACCCAGTCTGATAACGAGAAACAAGGCATCTCCTGTACCCGATGTTCATGCACTTACGAGATGCCATTTCTAATGAGGAGGTGCAAGGTTCCAAGACGGATCAGTACCACGTCCAAGCCTTGTTGGCAGCCGCACGCACCGAGACCGAAACACTGGATGTTGTTTCAAGCGACATCCGGAAGAGGCTGTCAACAATTCTTAGCATGTCTGAAAGTGGCATTGATCCTTCCAGCTCGACCGGCGAAAACGGAGTAGATTCGTTGATCCAAATAGAATTCCGGACATAGGGGCAACCATAGCCATGGGAGACATAAGCACAAAATGTGTCACCGGGTTGAACGTGAAGGTAGCAGGATCCTGTGCGTTCACCCGCTGCAAAGGTTGAGTTCTATAATGTATCTGCTTATGAACACGAAGTGATAAACAAGAAAGATGTGTCAGAAGGTTAATTGATTCCTATCAAGTAAACCAAGTATGTACTATGTGGTAGTTGGAAAACTTTTAACTAGCCGAAAAAAATGGACATCTATCATGCAACATAAGGGCATTTGAGACCGGGACGCCAGAAACCGTATTCTAAAGAAATTGAAAGGTATCATCACAATTCGTTGAAGCATTACGCCCGTCCAGAGGCTTTTCCTGGCATCTTGGCGGGGCCCAATCCTTGTCGGATCTCGTCCAACATTCTGATTCCAATTGCTTCGTTACCATTCTTGCCTCTCTTTGCCTTGGCACCCTTGCGCTTCACTTGGGAGCTTGTGTTACCGTCCCAGCCCGCAAGGAAGTCATCCATAACATTGTTGAAATCATGGCGGGGAGCCACAGCTGCTCCGTTCGCGTCAATCAGGCTGGGAGCCTGCGATGAGGCGGTCGAGAAGCCGGTCATGCCGGTCATACCGGTCATACCGCTGATCATGGACATGCTATCATCGTACTCATCTTCCTCGTCAAGAGCGTAGAGTGCCTCCACCCGGTCAAATCGGTCATCCAGCAGACGGTGCCCTTCCGTCCGGGCCAGAGCGGAAGAGGTCATGGAGTATGCCGAAGGGTTCGTGAGTGCACCCTTACGCTTCTTTCGGCGGATGGGGGTACCACCCACTGTGAAGACAGTGGAGGCAAGAGTGCTTCGTTGCTCCGAGGGCACAATACTGGGCGGTGCTGCCGGCGCTGCCTTCGCTTTACCCTCCTTCTTGAACTTAGCAAACTCACGCATCCATCCCTGGTCCTCGGGGTGCATATCCGGAGCCGGCGCGTCGTGATCGGGCAATTCACCTGGTTCAGCGTCCTGGGATTTATTCTGGGCGACCTCGTCCCTCTGCGGTGGTTTGTAGTCGGTTGTGCTGGGCTGCACGGGAGCCTTCTCAGTAGCATCAGACTCCCACCCATCATCATCTTCCTCGTCAAACAACGTATCCTCCCAATCGCCCTGGTCTATCTCCTCCGCCTGAGAGGTTAATTTGCCAAACACATCATCCTCGTCGTTTTCGTCGACAAATTCCTCATCCTCAAGAGCCTCCAGTACTTCCCGCAGACGGGGGTCCATATCAGGCTGGAATCCCGCAATTGCATCAGGCACATTCTGCTGATCCTGGTAGGTCGGTTGCCGGACATACGACGAGGCAGTCGAACGCATATCCGATCCGTAGACGCTTCCTGGGCCATACTCGCTTCTCGCATCGTCCAGAGTGACTTGTCGCAGAGCATCTTCCAGCTTCATCCCCTTAGCCTTGCCCTTGTCCTTGCTCTTGGCCTCCACGAAATACGAATCACCGCCACCGGTGCCCAGCTCGCGCAAATGTTGCATGTAATCATATTTCGAGTCGTCGTAGAAGATACCGTAGTTCGCTGCTTCACCTTCGTTTCTCCGGACGGGCTCCGCGCCGAATTCACTGGCTAGATCCGAGAGGTTCTTGCCGCGGGCTTCGATGGTAGAGCTACCTGTTGCGGGGCCTGACACCGGGGCCAAAACACGGTCATCGGCTGAGGAGTCGTGGATCAGGGGGTCATTTTGGGCTCGGTGGAAGAGTTGGTATGTGGTTGCATTCTTTTTATCGCTATTTGCATTCTGTTAGCCACTAGGTAATAAATAGGCCCTGTGCGGAAAGCCACATACATCCACTGCTTGCGGGGAGGCATTTTGGCGACTGCGATCGGTGTGGACAGCTGGAATGAAGATTTTCAGCCTGAGTGGGTTGATATTGTATGGACCTTGGGAGCAAAAAAATTGTCAAAGTGGGATGTGATAGCGTCACGTGAGGGCTTATCGGGGTGCCCAACTGGTCGTCCTCAGGCAGCGACGTGGGGGATGTGCTGCGGGTGGAGAGGATATCACACCATGGGAATCCATAGGGAAAGTATTAGTACTGACGATCGACTCTCAATATGAATTACTCGGTGTAGAATTACTGGTATAACTTCTTTTGTTTCAGCAACAGTGGCAAAAAAGGTGCTGAGTCAGCCAATCCTTATCTTATCGGCGGGGCTTGCCTGATTGGGTGATAGATCATCGCCAAATGGAACAAAATTAATAATTCTCTCCGTCCCTTTGCCTCTTCTTCACATTTCCCCTCCATTTCCCCCTCCATTCTTCCTTCTTCTCCCTTCCACTCCCCCATCGGAAGGTTTTATTTCATTTTTGGTGTACTGTAAGTCGAGTCACTTCACCACACAGTCACCATGGTTCTCGCAAAGTCCAAAAACTCCGTGGGGCTGGGCAACAGCCTCATGAAGGATCGTTTCGGAAAGGGAAAGGCCTCGAACATGAAGAAAGCCTCGCACAATCAAGCCGTCGCACGGAAGGATATGAACGGAGAGACATACATCACCAATGCGAAGGAAGATGCCGCCTGGGTGAAGATGCGCAGTATCACGGAACAAGCCGCTCTCGACGAGTTTTTGAGCACCGCTGAACTGGCAGGCACCGATTTTACAGCCGAGAAGATGAACAATGTTAAGATTATCCATGCCGATCAGAAGAACCCTTATCTCCTCTCCGCATCCGAGGAGAAGTCGGCTGTGAAGAAGCACCAGAAGAACAGAGGACGGCTGACCGTTCCGAGACGACCGCAATGGGATTCGACGACGACGCGGCAACAACTCGATGTTATGGAGAGGGAGAGTTTCTTGACCTGGCGAAGAGGGCTGGCTGAGCTTCAGGAGAATCACGATCTATTGATGACACCATTTGAGCGGAATTTGGAAGTCTGGCGACAGCTTTGGCGTGTCATTGAACGGTCGGACCTCGTCGTGCAGATTGTCGATGCTCGGAACCCGTTACATTTCCGGTCGGAGGATCTTGAGTCCTACGTGAAGGAGATCGATCCCAAGAAAGAGAACCTTCTCCTCGTCAACAAGGCAGATATGCTTACTGAGAAGCAACGAGAGGCCTGGGCAGACTACTTTGAGCGCAATAACATCAGCTTCCGGTTCTTTTCGGCCCAGCTAGCGAAGGAGAAAATTGACGCACAGCTTGCGGAGCAGAGCGACAGCGAGGATGAAGAGGTTGCGGAGAAGCTGGCGGAGACAACCATCGAAGAACAGCCGACTGAGGCGCCCCAGGAGGAGCATGATGGAGGATTGAAACTTCCTGGCTCGAGCGGATCCCGGAGGACGGAAATTCTCGATGTTGATGAACTCGAAGAACTCTTCCTTTCCAACACCCCCGATACTCTCCCCGAAAACGACGACCCAGAGAACCCGCGCAAGCAAAAGACAGTCATTGGTCTTGTCGGCTACCCCAACGTCGGTAAATCCAGTACCATCAACGCCCTTCTCGGAGCCAAGAAGGTCTCAGTGTCCGCTACGCCCGGTAAGACGAAGCATTTCCAGACCCTCTATCTCTCGCCGGAGATCATGCTCTGCGATTGCCCTGGTCTGGTGTTCCCCAACTTCGCCACAACCAAGGCCGACCTGGTTGTCAACGGTGTCCTGCCCATCGACCAACAGCGTGAATTCACCGGCCCAGCCACCATCATCGCCCAGCGCATCCCCAAGCATTTCCTTGAGAACGTCTACGGAGTCACCATCCATACCCGCCCCATCGAAGAAGGCGGCACGGGCATCCCCACCGGTAGCGAGCTTCTGCGCGCCTATGCCCGCGCCCGTGGCTTTTCCACTCAAGGCCTGGGCCAGCCCGATGAATCCCGCGCCGCCCGATACGTCCTGAAGGACTACGTCAATGGCAAACTCCTCTTCTGTCACCCGCCCCCAGTGCCAGAGGGCCAGGCCCCCATTGACCCCAATGAGTTCAACGTCGAACTCTACGACATGGCTCACCTGCCCGCCAGGCGACAAGAACAGCTCGCCAAAGCCATGCAGGCAGAGCAAATGGCCGAGGACATCGACGATGACATCCTCTCTCTGCCCAAACAACCCGTGCAAGGCTCCCGCTCCCGCAACCTCGACACCGGCTTCTTCGGCGACGCCTCGAAAGGTTCCGCCGGCCGTCTCACGCTCCCCTTCAACGCCCAGTACACTGAACAAGGCCAGCAGATGCGGCAACAGCTGACCGGTCGTAAGGAGCGCCTGATGGTCGCCTTGGAACGCGGCATCGATGTGACCGAAGTGCGGGGCGGCAGCTCCAAGAAGCATTTCAAGGGCAACAAGAAGCAGGCGAAGAAGAAGCGCGCCGTGACTGCGGACGATGATTACTGATCCATTTCTGATCTGACTCGCGGGCGAGTGGGGTTCATGTTTGCCTGTGGTTAATGAATGAGTTTGGGTTTTACTTTGTTTGGTTGCATTTTAGAAAAGTTTCTTATGATTCTCGGTTTACTTTATGTATGTAGGGTTGGTGTTGATGTTGACGTTGATGTTCATGAATCATGACAGTTCATATTGAATGAAAATCAATTTCACCGTGATAATCTTCCAGATATATAATTTATTCATTCCGTACGGAGAGTAGTGATTTTTGCCCTCCCTATCCAAATATTCGCTGTAGACAGATTGTTACCCTGACACTACCGCATTTAAAATCATCTCATTTACAAATGACTCTTCAGTTTAAGCCCACTAGCCGCCAACAACCGCTCCGCCTCAGCCCGCTGCCAATCCAACTTCTCAATGACCGCATCCTTGCGAGCCCGGTTTTCCCTCTTGCCGAGTTGCTGCAAGTGCACCTCATCCGGACCGTCCGCAATCCGCAGCGTCCGAATCATGGCCCACAGATTGGCCAACGGCGTATCCTGGCACACACCAGCGGCACCATACGCCTGCACGGCACGGTCAATGACCGTCAACGCGGTCTGGGGCACCAGAACCTTGGCCTGAGCAATCTCCTTGAGGGCAGACTTGGCATCACCCTGATCGATCTTGATCGCAGCATTGAGGACAATCAGTCTAGCAGCGTCGACCTCAATCCGGGACTTCGCCAGCCACTCAAGGATGACGCCATGTGAGGACAGGCTCTTGCCGAAGGTCTGCTTACGCTCGTCGTTGATCCGTGCGATGAGCCACTCGATCGCCTTCTCGGCAGCTCCGATCGTGCGCATCGCGTGGTGGATCCGGCCGGGTCCCAGACGGCCCTGGATGATTTCGAAGCCGCGGCCTTCGCCGAGGACGATGTTGGAGACGGGGACGCGCACGTCCTTGAAGCTAATGTGGCCGTGGCCGTGGGGGGCGTCGTCGTAACCATACACGGAAAGCATGCGGTGCACGGTGATTCCGGGGGTGTCGGCGGGCACGAGGATGACGGATTGTTGGCGGTAGGGGTCCTTGTTGGTTGGGTCGGATTTGCCCATTACCAGGTAGATACTGCAGCGGGGGTCGCCTGCGCCGGAGGACCACCATTTCTAGAGACGAGTTCTTGTTAGTGATTCGAGTTTGTGGGTGGGATGGCATAGGTGAAGGGGGAACGAACCGATCCATTGAGGACGTATTGGTTGCCTTCACGGCGGATGTTCAACTGGATGTTCGTTGCATCGCTGGAGGCCACCTCGGGCTCTGTCATGAGGAAGGCCGAGCGGATCTTGCCGTCCAGCAAGGGCGCCAGCCACTGCTGCTTCTGTGCTTCGTTGCCGTATTTGGCGATGACCTCCATGTTTCCAGTGTCTGGGGCGGCGTTATTCGTGGCCTATAGTAGTAATCGCCTCTCATCAGCACCTTGTCCCAGATAATTCCTCGGTGGAGCAGGAGGTGGGGGGTGGGTTGTTAGGGGATCTATACCTCCGAGGCCAACTTGCTCTTTCCCAGATACTCGGCCATCAGACCGTATTCGAGGTTGGTGAATCCAGCGCCCTGGGAGTAGTGGTTCTTAGGCAGGAACATGTTCCACAGGCCTTGCTGGCGCGCCTTAGTCTTGAGGGTTTCCATAACGGCTGGGTAGGTGGCCCATCGCTGATCGCCTTCGCCCAGCTGGGCTTGGAAGAGCTTTTCGGCGGGAATACATTCTTTTTCAACGAATTGTTCAACCTATTATGGGGGTGGGTTGTGGGAATTAGTCTCGACATGAGAAAGAGGATAGTTGGAGATGGCTGCAGAGGGTATCTACCTGGTCCAGGGTCTTCTTGGCCCGTTCACTAACGAACGGTAGGGCAATTGTGGGAATCCGTGTGGAGGCAGACATGATGCTGTGATGTTTTACTAGTAAATCAAGCTTCAGAGGAATAGAGGGAATTGGAATTATCCAGAGCAAAGAAGCCAGCCGAGGGAGAGATTATAAAGGAATGAGAAGCATCAATCATACGAGCAGTTGGTGAAACTGCGGAGAAGCTGTGGAGCGGAGAAGATGCCGAACTTTGGCGGTTGGACCTCGGCTCAGAACCGAATATCTAATCAATCACCTTGGCTGCTGCTTACTTACCCTTCGGGCCCTGGCAAAACATGAAATACTAGGTGATGGTACATGGAACTATGCCTACGCATCCATCAATTAGGTAGTCATCTTACTCATCGCATCACATTTCATTGGTCTTCATCCGTCCAAAACCCATACGCAATTAAAAACAATTTATGACCGTAAAAATAACACAGTAGTTCCAAGCCATCCCAAGACTATTAATTCCCAAAAAAAAAAAAAAAAAAAAAACCCCAAGTGCCCCCCCCAAAAAAAATCAAGTAGAAAAGAAGTCAAGAACCAGTCCTGCAAACACCGAACCGAGCGAGAAACAACCGACGATCTTATCCAGATATCATCCAAGAGATCCATGCGACCGGCGCATGAGATGTAAAGGATTCTGGAACGTCGATTACTTCTGCATCTCAGCCTCACTGGTGGAGTTATGGTTTGCAGCAGACTGTTCAAAGTTCTTCTTGCCTAGTTTGGCGAATAGTGATTGGGGCTTGCCAGCACTGCAGCGGAGGTTATTCATGTTAGCATATCAACCCCACGATGAACCATAGGCAATAAAACCCCCATCACTGAAGGATGAAAGGCAATAAGAGAGTCGACGTACTTCTTGAATCGCTTGCCCTTCAAGTCACTCAATTTCTTGGAGCAGGGGCTCATAATATCATCCGAGGGCGATACATAGCTGGCTTGTTGCCTGGACCGCTTGTTAGTCGACCACGCTATTCCGATGGAAAGGTTCAATTAAATCCAGTGAACTCACTTGTCTCCGCTCTCCAGCTTGCCCTGGAGCACTTGTCTGTGGTATTCCATTGATTCGATCTTGGCGGGGGCAGCCTTGAGCTCGTTGGCCTTCTCGGTGTTGACCAGATGAGTGTTGGTGGAGCGATCAGTGAGAGGATGCGAAGGAGATTCCATTGTGGTTATGTGAAGTAAAGGTGGTTCCCTTTTTTATGTCTGTGGAAACAGATGGAGAGGATGTGTCTTCGTGACTTCTTCTTTTTCTTCTTGCAGTGGGCTTTGAATGGTTTCAGCGAGGGATGAAATTGGAGATTTGCAGGTGGATAAGAAGCGGAAGAAATTGGCTGCAAAAGCAGAAAAAGCCGCGTTGTTGATTGTTGTCATGGCAACCACCCGAATTTTAACTTACATCATCTTCCAACATCTCCTCCTGAACGACCCTTTGAAATTGAAAAGATAGAGCTATGCGTTCATTTCTTCGTTTAGTCATTAGGATCATTAGGTTTGTTCCTCTAATCACACGAGCTTCGTACTTGTTACAGTTCCTCCTCCACTTGAGAAATAAACATACACCCCCTTCTTATCCTATAATACAACCAGATTAATTATCTCCTCCTCTCTTACGGGTGCCCATCATTCCAAGCGACCATTGTCCATGCCGATAAACAATCATACTTCAAGAGGCAAATTCCTCAAAGGAAGAGGGTTTCCATATCTCCTGGACAACCGTCCCACCGGCGACAGGCCAGCTGTTCCGCCAAGGAATGAATGATCACACAAGGATTAAATCATATCACTCCCTCCCGGGTGACGTCAGTGACATGGGTCGGTAAACAATGACGGTCGGAAACGATGCGACTCGGATACACATAGGGTTACGTAGAATGTCATCAATAAGGATAGCCATTGTGGGTACTCGGCGCATGTTCATCCTTCTTGTCGCATACTGCCGTTGTTCGCCAAAATCGGCTCGCTGCTCTCAGGAGAACCTGGCGAATCATAGTCAGATGATCCCCGTGATTCATACGATATCGGGCTGTCGTCACTCTGGCTCTCCTCGTCGGCAGGGTTGAGTACCGGTGGGCTGCTATGCGACCGGAAGTGCGGCGGCGCTAGGTCTGACATGTTGACAGTATCCAGAGAAGGGGCCGGCCTTTTGTCCGCTTCGTCGGGGTCAGACGGGTCAGATGTGGGCGTCGGGGGAGAATAGGCAATGGTCGGACTGAGTGGTTCTTGCGAGTCTTCCGACAGATTCCGCCGATGGCGCCCAGTGGCCCGGTACGACGACGTCGGTCGTGTCGAACTTGGGCTTGCCGAAGGAGAGCCAAAAAATATCGGCGACGACGAGCGCAGGCTATAGGAGCGATTCATCATATTCTGCACACGCGGGATATCAATGTATGTGCCCACCGGGACGCGCGGAAAGAGGACGAGGGCGAAGCAGAAGAGAATCATAATACTCTGTATCACGGACACTCGCTTCTGAAACACCAACTCATCGGCTAGAATCCCAAGCTGGGCACTGATCGAGTGGATCTCTTGATGGTACTGGATACGTTGGTGCTCGAACTCCAGCGCAACGCTCTTCCATACCTGATCATATTGTTCGCGAAACTGCCTCAGCTCGTTCAAAACGGTCACATTCAAGTTCTCCAAGAACGTGGATGTTTTGGCCAGCTGGCGTTTTTCAACCTTGCTAAATGCATCCCGTAGGATCCGAGACTGCTCTTCAATATACAACAGCGATAGAGTCGAGTTGGACTCTAGCATCTGCAGCCTTTTATTGACGGACTTAAAGAAAGACTCTTGGGTGGTAGGGTTCGAGGATGGGGGCTGCGTCCCAGAAGGCCGCACTGATTCCGAGGGTATGCTGGACTCTTCCTTAGGGGAACTGACCGACTTAATCTCGGACTCATGTGCCGCATCATGTCGCACCGTTTCTGTACCTAGTATCGTAGAGGAGGCCGAATCTGGACTCGCACCGGTAGGCCCCGTTACTTTCTGGCCGCCCACCGACCCCTTATCCGAGTGGTCAACCCGAGAGGCAGGTGCTGAAGCTTCTGCACTTGGAGTAGCTTCTTCATTCGCCTTCGGGTGGATCTCAGTCGATTGGTTGACCGCAGCATTCCCGGCTCCAGTTGGTGCGGCACGTATATCGCATGTATCCGCAGGTGGGGAAACACCCTGCTGTAGAAGTCTGACAACCTCCATCCCCTGATGGAAACAGGATCCCTGCGTCTCTACGATAACTGTTGGTTGATTGGTAGATTCATCAAGCACGGCCACAGTAGTTGCAGGCTGCTGCACGACGTCCTCCACGTCAAGCTGGAGAGGGAGGGGACTCGGCTCCAGCGCCTCCGCAGCGGCCTCCTCGTCGCCACGATTAGTCTCACCGTCGTGTTTATATTCTTCCAGCATGGTCGTTCCATGGATTCTGACCAAACTGAGAGGGCAGTAGAATTCATTCCCATAGTGTGTCAGGAACTCAACTTTTACATATCGAGCCCAAATGAGCGGGTTTTCAACCGCAAAAGCTTGGATCTCGCGGGTATTCCGCGCTTCGTAGACACCCAACTCCCTCCATTGGTCAGTCTTGGCCGGATACCGATCAGCGACGCTCACACGGAAGGTATGAAAGATAGAACTGAAGAACTCGTAGTTGGCAAGAACGACAGTATCAACCAGAATGTCGTCGCACAATTCAAGGATGATGAACTTGTTCTTCGCACGGCATTCATTGAGCATATAACTGTCCTTGTTCTCGACCAGGACAGATGATGACCCTTTACATTCAGGATTCGTCTTGAGCACGGTTGCTGCACAATCAAATGATGCGTAGTTGAACCGTTCTTTGCAAGTCGTGCCAGCGTCCTTCCCACGCGAGGCAGCCTTCCGCAGATCAGCAGGCACAGCGGCCTCCACATCTCCTGCACCGGCTCCAGGCATCCCGGCCGTAGGTATGCTTGACCCCCAAGGTGTAGGCTTCGCCGCGTCGGACGCATCAGCGCCGAAACCACCAAAGTCAAGCTCAATCTCAGCATCCTCTCCCAACGAATCCAGCGCGTTATTGATCCCCGTTGGCCTCCGTCGGTCCTCTTTCCCACCCGTATGTCTGTTTCCGCGGACATTCTCAGCCGACTGGCCCACCTTCGCCAGGTTTTGCTTTTTCCAATCTTCGAACGAGAGGAAGTTTGAATTGTCGAGTGGGGACTCGGTGTCAAGTTCATTGTCAGGTTGTCCTTCAGGGGCAGGAATCGCAGTCTTACTCGGCGCTCCCTCCGAAATGGTTACCGAAACGGTCTGGTCAGGGGATCCGGTCGTGTCCTGGGTGGTCCTGGGACCAGTTCGCTCCCATCGCGACTCGACACAAACGGGCCATTGAATGAACTCCGCTTCCACCTCGCTCCAGTGCCTTGCGAGGCATATCGCTTGCTTATTCTCGGCTGCAGCGCCCGGGATTCCAGGGAGGATCAACGCTGTCGTCAAGGACGTCCATGCCGCTGCTGCCCACGCGGGGACCACCATCACGCACGCTTGTAGTTGGATCGTGGTTTCGATGGTACGACAGGTGAGTCACAGCGTTACTTGGCTATACTGGTGTTGAGTCGCGGATACATTGTCCGAGCGATTTAACGGCTGTGGCGATTTCGTATCGTCAACTAAGCGCAGGAAAGGCAAAAACTCCCGGTTAATCGGAGATCCTTTGTTCGGAACGGGGTGGCAAGAGGACAACTGGCAGTTGCACAAGGGTTGTATAATACCAAGCAGGTTATTCCTGTACAAGCGAAAGGTCAACTACAGCAATACAGAATAAAAATCCTTTCGAGCGAGATGTTGGGAGAAGCAGGAAAACTGACATCTGCGCATGGGCGGTCTGTCTGTAGCGCTCGTGACCGCCTCGCGTCACCGCCGATCGTTAGGGTAATGAAATTAGATGCTGGGGCTACTATACTAGTACCCTAGTAGACACTTAGTCCGAATACAATGGAAACTCCCATTCAATTACGGATCCATACGCTTACGAATACTAAAAACAGACAAGTCCACGAGAATCACTTTTGGGTTTGTATTTCCACCATGATGTAGATAATCGTCCACTTCACACCCATTCCGCTATCCCCAGCTAAACTACAGTACAAAGAATCCAGTCCAGTACATCATCCGCCTGGGTAAGACCGGGAAATGAGCGCAGAAAGATCGACATCCCGTCTCTCGTAGGCTTTCTTTCTCGGATTTGTCGTTGAAGAGCACCCTTTCCCATCATATTGCTTCTGCCTTTGCGCCGCCGTCCTGCCACCATCACATTGAACCATTTTGTTGAGGAATGTAATATTCGAACAGTTTGAAAGTTGATGAAAAAAAAAGAAAAATATCGAAATGAAACAAGCGTAAAGCCTCCCCAAAAACCTTCCGGTTGTCAGTGGATGAGTCACTTTTGCCGCCACCAGTAGTTATATTATACAGTAGTAAAAAAAAAAAAGAAGAAAGAAAAAAGAAACAAAGAACATATTGGGCCGCTTGCATGTCACACACAGAGTGTCTATAAAAGCTTTGAGAAATAAAGTCATGTCGACGCAGGGCCCGGCGCAACATGACGGAGTGGAGAAATGCAAAATCGGTTTCATGAAGAGTTTTGAAAGATAGAGCAAAGAGCAGACAACAAACAAAAAAAGTGAGGTGGTCGGTAGTTTCTTGGTCGTGATGTGATTAGATTATATAGGCCAACACGATGTGAGGACGCGCAGCGCAGACAAAAGCAGTGACATTGTTGACGCTTACAGGTGGAGGTCGTGCCAGCCACCAACGAGGTCAAGGTCTTCATCGATGCTTCCATCATAGCCGCTAGCCGGCTTGGTATACGCAGGCTTGGAAGACTCCACGGCATCGCGACGCCACCCCTTCTCCAGGAATGGGCGACGGCGACGTTCAGGCGAAGCGGGTTCCTTCTTGGCCCAGGATCCATAGTCGAACCCTGACGAGCCCAGACCCCAGTCTTTCCGCCAGGCCATATTGTTCAGGAACTTCTTCTGTTTGAATGGCACATCTGCCGGCTTGTAATTCCGCCTGCGGTCACCCAAAGCGGCCCATTTGTCCAGGTTCGACTTCTTCGATGAATTCTGCGGTGAAGTCGGTGCTGACTTAGATGTGGTGTTCTCGTCGTGGACTGGCTGCACAGGAATGGCACGGGCCTCGGCGGCGGGAACTGCCTCGTCCTGTAACTGAATATTGAGCATTGATGTAGTCACATCTTGAAGAACGGTTGAAGGGCCAACGAGTTCGGGAGTACTACTGTCATGGCTCCAGCTACGTGAGTTCTGCTCGCGTCGTTGCTGCAACGCAGTCTCCTCACTTTCCAGCTCTTCATCCTCATCCCACAAGTCACTCCAGCTCTTGGAGATTTGTTCTTCCTTCTTCTTGCCAAATACCATGGAAAGAGAAGGCAGCGGCTTAGGTGGTTGACTGGGCAAAGAGCCTGTGATGGGGACAGGGTCGGAAAGGGGCGGGTAGCGGGGCTCAATCTTTGTGAACGCTGTCGAGCGATATGAGTCACCCAGAGCAGACTCCATCACAGAAGCCATGGACGGAGTACCCTGGTGAACGGAAAACCAGGAAGTACCAGCTGTCTCCGACGATGGGAAGAGATCCTCATCGTAGGTGTCGTCGGGAATCGCAGACAACTTCCGGATATCCTGGGGCGGACTGCACTGTAGAGCTTTGGCCCAAGGGAACGAGTCGCCTTGGTTGACGAAGGGGCTCTGGATCGAAGGAGTGCGGAGAGGCTCGCGATTGGCGCTGGCAGGCACCATTTCACGGTCATCCGTGCAGAAGTCATCCAGACCCTCGTCATCAATGGTGAAGGTGACAGTCCGGAGGATCGCATCCCGGATGCCGGAGAGCGTGCGCTTGTCAGGGTCGATGGCCAGGGCGATTCGCAGGATCTCGAACGTATCCTGAGACATGTTCGGGAAGATATCGAACAAAGATTGGCGATCCCGAACATAATCGGCGAACAAGATATCGGACTCGGTTGGCGTTGCGAAGGGGTTTCGAGCGAAGAGGACATTGAGCAAGCAGATTCCAACGGCCCAGATATCAGCCTTGGCAGGAGAGTAACCTGTTGTAGCCGGGTCGTATTGCTCAGGTGCCATGTAACGATCGCTTCCAACGCAAGCCTCATAGCACCAGGCCTCGCCCGTTGCCAAACCTAAATCGCCCAGTTTCATGCAACCATCCTGCATCAAGAAGATATTCTCAGGTTTGATATCACGATGATACAAGCCTTTGGCATGCATGAACTCGACAGCGCTCACTAATTGCAGCATGAAATCCCGTACATGCTCGGTTTCCAAGGGACCACGGTTGAGTCTGATTGCCTCGTAGAGATCGCCGTTCGCACAGTATTCCAAGACGAGATACATGTGGGTCTCCGTCTCAAACGAGTGAATGAGGTTGACAATGTTCGGATGAAATCCGAGACGACGATGGCAAAAGAGCTCATCGAAACGATCATCAGGCATCGCCCCTTTCACCATGCATTTGATAGCAACATCCTGGCCGGTCTTCATATCATATGCGAGGAAGACCATGCCAAAGGAGCCATGGTTCAAGGGAGCAACGGTACGGAAGCGCCCATCCAGGAGCTGCCCCTCAACGAAGCTGTTAGGGAGGTACGACATGTCGAGTGATGATCGAAACTGTGAAAAAAACGGTGGTGGTCCAAAAGGAAACTCAATTGCAGGTCTGTCGACGGAAAAGACCTGCGGCAACGGGATTTCAATCGAGCGGGTAGGCAACGAAAATGAGATAGTACAATGCGAACCAAATGTCAAGAATTGCAATGCCGGTCCAACGAATCGTAACCGAGAAAACCCAAGAGAAGAGATCAAAAGAGGAAAAGAGAAGTTGAGTATAAGATAATCAAACAATGGAGTGTCGGTTTAGAAGATCATATAAATATGGGAGGATGAGACAAAAGGAAATAGACGACGAGTCAGCGCAGAGCGCAAGTCAAAGAAACCCAAAGGAAATTGACAACGCTAGGAAATTTGTAGAGACCGTTATGGGTTCATCTGTATATCGTTTCAGTAAGGTGGGCGAAAGCCGAGAGTCAAGTAAGTATGGCGATAAAGAGAGAGTGTTGAAGAGAAAGACGACGTCCGGCGGGTGGACGAGGAAAACGAATCAAATAAGACGGAAGATGGGAGCAAAGAAGAGCAAGAGCAAATCAAAACGCTGCGTGATATCGTAAATGCCAGATGTATAAACAATTGTCGTTATTAAAGACCTTCGAACACCAGGCTGAAGGACAAGGGTGGTCGTGACTCAGGGGAGGGAGGGGTCGAAGTGAGGTATGACGCTATAGACTCATAGGTTGACTGAGCGACGAGATAGTCCTGGATTGGCAGGAGATTGATATATAGAGGCGCTGAAGCTCAGGACAACTGGTACCAGGCGTCTTCAGATTTCCCTTGGTTGGGCAAATTGAAGAACCGAATACCAGCAACCGGCTCAGGTTGCGAACGGTGGAGTCTGGGACAACGAAGTCGTCTGGTCTTAGTCTTGCAAGTCGACGTCCTCACACGTAGTCTCAATGTGTGTAAGATGAAACGTAGCAGCACTTCGGTCGGTAGATTGAGAAGAGTCGTGGGTCCGAAGTGACCTTACACGTTGGCTTGAGGATGAGTCACCCGAGGTGTTCGGAAGGGCAGGCACAGGACAGTGGCACTACAATATCCAGTCGGATTGGACTGAGAAGAGTATCTTGGGCAGTATAGATTGGATTAGGAGCTGACGCTGGTGTGGTCTAAGCTTTTGAACCTAATATGCTCTTGCTGCAGCGATGAGGCGAGTAGGGACGTCCGAGGACACTTTGGAGATTGGTGATAACGGGTGGCGACGGAAGCTGTGTTGGGGACGATGGAGAAGGGAGAAGGAGCAATGTGTAGAGGAGAGACGGGCGGAAGCAGAGAGAAGGAGGAGAGGAAAGGCGGGTGATAGGAGAGAGGAAGAGAGAGAGAAGAAGGAAAGAGGAAGATGGCGTTGGGTAGGTATAGGTGGTGGTGAGTCGAGAAGAGCGGATCAAGTTGACAGCAGGAGCGATAGGGATGATGGATAAGGAGGTCCGGATGATAACCAGAGAGAGGGGGGCGAAACAGTCAGTCAAATGGGACTGGGACCGGCAGTCGGAACCTTTTACTCTCAGTAGGAGGGTGGAGGGCAGGCCAATCCACTCCCTGCCAGAAACTGGGCGAACGAGCGAGAACCTGACGGAGCCCTTTTGCTGACTGGGTAGTCGGACTAACACGGTGGAGTCCGATCAGCCAATGGCTACAATTCGTTACCGTACCAATACCTCGTCCGAACGTTCCCCCAAGGGCCCCAACAATAAGGTACGTACTATGCCTGTACTGTAGTACTTGCCAAGTTTTCCCAATGCCGCCCAGCAGTAAGAAAGGCCCTTCAGTACCTCGTGGTAACGATACGTGCGATCTTCGTCGGCCCACCAACCTTCGATGGATGCAGGTTGAGCAGAAGACGCGGCTAGACTGTTTCCGGCGCATAGACTCCACACCCCCCTGAATGAATCATACCTCTCATGGCAGAACGGATATCACTGCATCCCCCCAAATGTCCCATCTTTCTTATCATACTACGGAGGAATCATCATCACTTTCATCGTCATCGAATATCTTCCCTTCTCTTTTTGTTTTGTGTCCCTTCCTCCCCTCCATTGTAAGCGAAACGGGTATGGTATGTATGGCTCAGACACATTTTACATTGGATTACCAATTTTTCAGTTTCATTATTCGATCGCGTCAGAGATGACGAAGAATTCAAACGGAACTGATTATTAGTAATATTCTTAATTCTTGATGATGGAAGAGCCATTCCTGGCTGCCTTTGTTACGAGGCATTCATTCCCGTTTCCATTGTTGTCCGTACAGTCCGCTGTCATGATGGCTGGCATTTAGAAATGGCATTAGATGAAGCTCCTGCCGACATTCCTACGAACTATTCAATTGCCCGAGTGATTGTTCACGAATATGTTATCTAACCCAAAATGAGCCTTGATAACATATCGACCTACAGTCCATGCGACTTTTTATGCGTTAGTCAAAGTTTATGAGTCCTTAATTGAAAATTTTGAGACTTAGCACGGGACATAGCGTGGCATAAGTTCCAGCGTGTCCAAAGTTAATACGACATGTGTGCTATAGCTGCTACCTAATTGCATCAATAAGGCAGATGGGGAGTAATTCGGGAGACAACATTAGTGAGGACTAGTAGTAGTATTATCACAGATTACAGGCTGCCGCCTGGGCATCCAAGCAGCATGGGACGTGGTCCGTCCTGTGCCGACTAAGGTCAAGTTCCTGCAGGTCCAGACCAGGGTCCTCCACCACCACCCGTCTCCATCATTATGCAGTGGTCAGTTCCTGATACCATTCATAGCAGTACTACCCACCGGGACCAGAGACAGAAAAAAATAGAAGTCCTTGGGTAATGAGAAATCCACGATCCTATCGGATTGAGGTTCCTTTCCTCCTCCGTCCTCGGTCGCGAAGGGGATTGGAAATACGTAACAGGAGATGCTCCACATGGTGATGATGAATGATACATCATCATCATTGCTTCCATTTTCGGTTTTGCCTCGCCCCGAAGGCGGAGCAACGGTGGCGGTAACGCTACTCCAATTTCGGACCCTTACACTGCCGCTAAAGCCGATCGGGACCAATGACAAGTGGCCTAGTTGGCACTATTCCCAGGCTGCATGACGCCAACACAATTTGGTGGCCTGGTGGCCAATAATGGCAGCATTCACTCCCTCGACAATTAAAAAAGAAGAAACAAAATCCCGGGGCAGCTTGAGTGATGATCATTGTGGATAGCGTGTATGGGGAAGATGAAATGGTTGCAGATTTATTTATTCATTTATTTTTTTTTGGAGTGGTGGTGCAGATGATGATGAATAATTTGCGCTACGGATGTACCTGTGCTTCCTTTCGAGTTTAATTTGATTGATTGTCTGTTCTTAATTATCTTTTTTATCATTCAATGACTGTAAACTCTGTTTATTCTTTAGGTCTCATTTTTCAGATCACTTCTCAGTCTTGAAGTTTAGAGGGTTTGACATGCTCATGGTTCATCCGATCTTGGGCCCAGGAAAAACCCGATGAATGAACCACACACTTCCTCTGTTTTGCTCGCCGGAAGAGTCGCGACCCAACCGTTGAACTCTCCATTTCTCCATGCGGAATACCTTCTCCAGTTGAGTAGTTAACGAACATGGGCAACTGGCACAGCTCTTGACCCAGTTTTGCGGGGTTTGATTGTGTGTCCTTCACGTTTCAGGATTGAATGTCTATCACGACAGGAGGCGGGGAAGGGGAGATGAACGTATGATGTAGTACAGCTGGAATGACACGAA